CTCGCGGTCAAGGTCCTGGGCCGGTTGCGGCGTGCGGACGAGTTTGCGGCGTGGCGGCGCTGGGAGGCCCACAACGTTGCCGTGGTCGTGGAGCGGCAGGCAGCGGCGATTCGTGCGATGCGGGAGTCGGACGCCTGCATTCGGGCGCTTCGACTTCTGGGAGACGCGTCTCTCCGGGTCGTGAACAGGCGCTTTGCGATGTGGGCGACGAACGTTGGGAGGAGTCGGTCGCAGCAGCGGAAAATGCGTGCAGTGTTTCTGCACATGGTCTTGCGACAGCAGTCGCAGGGACTGCGGACTTGGCGGTGGGAGGCGGCGAAGCGGAGCGACGTCCGGCGCAAGACACGCAGGGTCGTTAGTCGCATGGTCCACATGCGCATCGCGGCTGCTCTGGACCGCTGGAGTGTTGTTCACTCCGTTGGAATCGTAATAGAGCAACAAATGGGAAAAACGCTTAAGCGCATGCTCAAGCGGGACATTTCTCGCGCATGGCAAAAGTGGTACGCGCTGAACGCGATGCTTGCAGCTCGTGCAATGAACACGGCAATCATCGCGGCAAATAAGTGGGCCGATGAGGAGATCTCTAACGTGCGTCGGGCAAGGATTCGCCGAGCGTTCAAGGCGCGAGTGGCATCAGAGGCCAGACAGCTCCTCTTCGGTGGGTGGATGCAATGGCTTCGCGTCTCTGGGTCTGTCGAGGCGTGGCGGCGGAACCAGGATCGCGCATTCCAGCTAGCGGACAAGGCGCTGCGGCGCATGAACTGGTCGGCGTTAGGACGGGCATTTCGGCAGTGGTTTCACAGCACATTGCACGAGTCTCGGTCCCGCCGGGCTGAAGAGGCGATTGCGGCGGTCACGCACCAGCTCGCCATAGAGCGGGAGCGGAACGGAGTGTTCTCTCTGCTCGCTAGGTCGATGCACGACCCGCTTAGAGCCCTCCGCCGTCTCGACAGACTGGAGGCTTGGAGGGGACTGCAAACTTGGATTGCGTTCACGGTCAAAGCGATTACGACCAAGGACCGCCTCGTGCGGGTGGCCGCAGCTGTGTGCCGGATTTGGTGTCACTGTGAGGACCAGCTGCTCAGTGCCAGCTTTCGAACGTGGACGCTGTTCTGCCGCGCATCGCTGAAGTGCGAGCGGCTCTGCAAGCGATGGACGCACGCGGTCGAGTTCCGTGCGATGCGGTCCTGGGCATTGTTTGTGGCGGCGGCAAAATCTCAGGCCCGCGCCGTGTCGCTCGCGGTCAAGGTCCTGGGCCGGTTGCGGCGTGCGGACGAGTTTGCGGCGTGGCGGCGCTGGGAGGCCCACAACGTTGCCGTGGTCGTGGAGCGGCAGGCAGCGGCGATTCGTGCGATGCGGGAGTCGGACGCCTGCATTCGGGCGCTTCGACTTCTGGGAGACGCGTCTCTCCGGGTCGTGAACAGGCGCTTTGCGATGTGGGCGACGAACGTTGGGAGGAGTCGGTCGCAGCAGCGGAAAATGCGTGCGGTGTTTCTGCACATGGTCTTGCGCCAGCAGTCGCAGGGACTGCGGACTTGGCGGTGGGAGGCGGCGAAGCGGAGCGACGTCCGGCGCAAGACACGCAGGGTCGTCAGTCGCATGATTCGCGCTCGTGTCGAGGTAGGCTGGCATGCGTGGCGGACCGTGACGCGACGTGCTGCGACGGACGAAGGCCGCATAAGCGAGCGGCGACGACGAGCCTTTGTCAGGATGACGCGACACGTAGCGTTGCAGCGTTGAAAAGGCTCGTCCGGGTTTCGCGCTTCGCGTCACAGCCTTCTTGCACAGGTCGTAGAACCGCTCAAATTTTTGCGGCGCCTCGAGCACTTGCCGCAGTGGATCGCGCTACAGACGTGGGTGGGTGTTGCCCGCGCGACCGCAAATGCAGTGCGCCTGCGCTCACTGGGAGCGGCGGCACTTACACGAGTAATCCGAGGCAAGGACATCGCAGCGCTCGAGGATGCGATGATTCGGTGGACGCGTATTGCGACCATCGCCCGCGCCGGCAATGCGCTTTTGTTCGGCTGGGCGAAAGCGTCTCTTTGGGCAGCGATCAGTGAGTGGCGTGTGTCAGTCACCGACGCGCGGAGATCGACGCATGCCGTCCGCTCCCGCGCCTGCAACGGAACTCTGTGTCGCTTCTTTCAACTCCCTTCTCCCGGTCCGAGCCTTCAGGCGATGGATGGAGCCTCGACGCCCCTGCCCTCCGCGAAGTACTGCGGGTTGCCGCCGCTACGTCAGCCGCCTAGGAGCGGGAGCTACATCCGCGCGGAGTTTTATCGCCCCCGCAGGCGGCGCTCGTCTCCGCGTCTATTGCGCGAGCCCTTGAGGCTCTCCGAGCGCGGAGCCATGCGCGCGAAGGCCGGGCTGCCGGTCGCGCTCTCCGGCGGTGGGCGGTCGTCGCGGCTGCGGTGCGCGGTCGCGGCTCTGCTGTCGCTGGCATCATGGCGCGCACTGCGCGCAGCGCGGCAAGGGCTGGCCTCGGAACCGCGCTTCGGAGGTGCGACGGCCGGCGCCGACGTGCGTGCGGGACCACAATGGCAACTCGCAGGTGGGCGATGTGCGCATGCGCTCTCGGCGAGCGAGTTGCCGCGGAGTGCCGCGTTGCCGCACGGTGCGATAAGGTCTCGATGGCGCGAGAAGTGACGTCCAAGGCGGCGCTTGAGGCGCTCGCGTCTCAGGGTCGCGCTGCGGCGACACGGCGCGCCGCCGTGGCGCTGTTCCTTGCCAAGAAGCGGCGTGCCATGGCACGGTGGAAGGTGGGCACACACCGCGTTCAATATCAGCTCCTCGGTGCCACTTCCGGCGTCCGTTGGGCGAGTCACCGCAGAGATGCGCGCTTCGCAGGGGAAGTCCGCCAGGCCGAGCTGCACCGGGCGCGCGCGGAGCGGCGCGCTCTCCAGCGCCGCTATCGCGCACTTGTCTGGCGCGGCGCCGTCCTGCGCCTCGCGCGGACGCGTCTCACGCGCTGGGTCGCTGCGTGGCGGCGCGCGGCGCGCGAGCTCTCTGCTTGCGACCACGGTATCGCCTTGCGGTCGCGTGAGCTCAAAGTTGAGGCCGCGTGCTTGCTCAGTGTCCCACGCCTAGGAGCCACACTCACGAAGGCTGGTCGTGGACACCGCGCCCCCAGGTGCCGCTTCTTATGCGCGACGTCGTCACGCTCGGCGCTCGCGGCCGCTCGTGGGGCAATGGCACGTGTGCTGCTCGGTTGGCGCCGCGTGGCTGCTCAGCGATCTATAGCCGCGGTTTCTGCGCGCCTCGGCGCCGTCGCTATAGTCAGGCTCCTCGGGGATGCCGCGACACAGCGCGTTGCGCGTGCTTGGGTTGCCTGGGCCAGAGGCATAGCAGCGAGCCGCGCCGCCGAGGCTTCCATGGTCCGGGCCCTTGGCCGCCTCCGCCACGTGTGCCTCGCCGCGAGTTGGGCCACATGGCGTGGTGCAGTCCGTTACGCTTGCGTCCGTGCGTCAAGTCTCGGCGCCGCAGTGCGCGTCAGCTCGCCCGGCGTCCGCACGCCCGCCCGCTCGCCACGGGCCGTGCGGTTCTCGCCAAGCCGACTCTGCTACTGCGCAGGTGGCGCTGCTCCGCCTCTCCCGCGGGGCAGCCTCAGCCGCCTTCTCTCAGTGGCGCGATGCCCTTCGCACGTCCCGAGCCGCGGCAGCCGGCGCGGTGCGGCGCGGGAGCAAACACGTAGCTTCACCGCTTCGGCGCGATGCGCCCGGGGACACAAACGTTCGCCTGGTCGCCCCCTTTGCGCCGCACAAATCCCTCCCGGGACGCACCCGCAGGCTTGCGGAACGCTAACCGGTGGCTACGACGGCTTCTTGGGCGGCAAAAGGCACGCGTACTGTCGACCTGGCGTGCGGCCACATGCGCCGCGCGGACAAATTGCATCGCCGCGTCGCGTCTCGCAACGGTGTTGTTGCGCATTGCTGTGGGCGCACGGCGCGTTGCCTTCCAGTGCTGGCGCGCACGCGTCGACGCGCACGAAACCCTCACGCTCCTCGCGGCAACAACAAACGCGAAAGCCCCGGTGGGTATTCAATCTCCAAAGCTGACTTGAACATTCCGAGAATTGAACGATTCACATGAGTGTTCGTCAATTGTTAAGAACTCGATAAGAGAAGACAAGTCTTTTCCCAAAATCAGCCAACATAATGACGTTCTGGCAAAGCTCGAGACAATCCTAATTTGCCCGCGTCATACAATTTACCGCGTGATTTTGTTCCAGGTGAGAGGACTTCGCGCCGCCTTTGTCCACTGGACCACGCATGTTGACATCGCGCGAGAGCTCGAACAGTCATGAGCCGCGTTCGACCCCCGTTCGTGCAACCCATTATAATCCACCCCAGGCTCGAACGCGCCGTCTCCATGCTTGCCTCCTCGAGGCTTGGTGGAAAATTTCCCAAGAGAGCTCTCCTTCGCTGAGAGGCGCTCACCATGCCCTCTGGCAGACCATGTCCGTCTTCCTGTAGGAACCGAGCTATGCATCCCCGAGGGTTGCATTCAGGAGGCCCTGCGGCAGGAAAGATCGCTGGCGCATCGCCGACCCCCGTAAGCAGAGTAGCTTAGTTTGCTGCGATGTAGGTCCGGAGACTGACAAGCTCGCAGGGGGGACGGGCGGGCGCCGCGGCGCCCCTCTGCCATGGGGACGTTCTCTGTTTTGATCCATCCAAGCTAAAGAGAAATACCCCAAACTAGGGTAATAAGGAACGTTGAGGTCAACGTTAAGGGGGAGTGCAGTGTCATCTCCATAGTGTGACGTCGCGATGGAAGGGCGCAAGGTAATGTAAAGCATAAAGCGCCCCAAATTTCGTTTCTGTCTTGACCATTTCGACACTGATCAAACATTGCCGGCCCCGGGCCCTTTCTAGGGCGATACGAGAGCGTGGCAGCTGGGCGCGAGCGTGCGTTCACTAGCGCCGAGGACACGGACCGGCGCACGGGCTGCTACGCGACGTCCAGCGCCCGGAAACATATAGTACCGCCGGGTCTAGGCAACTCCGCGTATGCAAATTACAAGGCTCCTTCATTAGCACGCGACCTCTGCTGGCTTGGGTGTACGCCAGGCAGGTCTTCTCACGCGGAGTGTCGGTCGTGGTGGGGCAAACAGCAATGTTCCTGATCACCGCCGGCGAGGATAATCTCCACTACGCTGCCATACCCCAGTCAAATCCCTCGTTTAAGCGCGCCGCTCGACCCGCTTATTTTGTTGGTGGGCGCCGGTGGGCGCCGTCGTCGGCAGAGCTCAATGAGAGCCGTCGTCGGGGAGGCATGCACGGAGCCGATCGCCGAGTGGCCTGAGTCCGGAGCGGCCGGTGTGGCGAGCCGGGTGCGTGCCAGGCCTTCCCGGAGGCGAGGTGACACGCGGGACGCTGAAGGGGCACTCGTCCCGCAGGCCGACGCCGATGAGCGTGAGCACAGACGCTGGGATGGTGTCTGCGGCGACGAGCGGCGAGACCTCGAACGCGTCGCCGACGCCCTGAACGAGCACCTGGGAGAATACTGCGCATCGAAGCTCAATCGCCCTCGGCTTGTGATTCAAGCTCCGCGCCGGCGCATGCGAGCCCACTCGTCGTGTAGACGGCACCCTTGGCGCGAAAAACGCGCCGCTCGCCGCTATCCTGCCAGAGGTAGGCACCGAGGAGGTGCTCGAGCTTCCGCGCCTGCGCTCGACCGAAAAATCGCGCGACCACGGTTGCACGGTGTCGAGCTCCTCAGTGTCGCGGTCACGGCGGCCGACGCTCAGGCGGGTGTCATAGCCCGTCGATAGCTGAAATACTCAGTCGTAGCGAAGTCCCCAAGTCGCCCCAAGGTCGAAAGTGCCGCTCGCGTGTCCGCGCGTCGACAGCGAGAACGCGGTCGAGCGTTGCGGTGCTGCGTGCGGCGCATGGGTCGTGGTTGAGGTGGTGTCGCGCGCAGTGAGGGCACCGGGCCGTGCGCAGCGCCCCATGCGACACCATTGTGCGCAAAGGCAAAGGCGCCCGGCATGGCAGCAGCCATCGCGCTCGTGGACCGCGCAGCGGCTGCGAAGGAGCCTGACGCGACCAGCCAGCCGCCTACGCCGCGACCCGCGCACTCTCGCACCGCGCGTCCCCGCATGGCGCGGCGCGGGGCGCGCGCGGATGGGGAAGTCGCCACGACCGCGCACGGCGCGACGTGCGTCAGCGGCGGGATTGAGACCGGTGACGGTGGCCGCGGCTACGTCTACGGCAAGCGCTGGGGCCGCGTCGCACTTGTTGAGCACTATACGATCTGCATGCGCGACCTGGCGCCTGCGCGCGAAGTAGCGTCGGGATTTCGTCCAGCTCGCGACGCGGGAGTAGCGCCGCGCCTCGAAGCCGCCGGCGCCCCGTGACGCAAGTAGCTCGCGGCCGCGGACGCAATCGACGACGCAAAGGATCGAGTCGAGCTCGACGGACGACTCGAGGGCTTCGTCGAGCCTATGGCGCAGCAGGGGCTCGACGCGTCGGCCGGCGCGCGCCGCGGGCGCCGATGAGAGGCCAGAATGCGGCTGCGACGGGCCCGGGGTCGGCGACGCCGCTGAGCTCGACTACGATCGCGTCGAGGGGCCGCGCCGCGCGGGCTACGAGGTCCTCCAGTGCCGTCGCGAGCTCGTCCTTGACAGAGCAGCAGACGCAGCCATTCCGTAGCTCGACCTACGTAGCACGCGATCGCATCGCGCGCTGCCGCCAACCGTGGGCGCGGGGCTCGCGACGATGGCCCCGTCGGGGCTGAGAGCGCACGCGCCCTCGGAAACGAGCACACTCTCGAGACCTCGCGTGTCAGCGAACTCATTCTCGACGACCGCGATACGCAGGCCGTGGTCGCCAGCGAGCAGCCGCCGGAGCAGGGTCGATTTCCCGGCGCCGAGGAAGCCGCACAGGATCGTCACCGGCACCTTCGCGCGCCCGCCAGGGCCCGCGACAACTGGCGAAGCGCCGCCGGCGTACGGCACCAACAAAGGCGCGGGCTCGTCGTCGTCGTGAAGCGCTTCATCCATCACGTTCATGCTACCGCGGTAGCTTCATCATTGCCCTCTTCTGACTCTGACTACATCGGCAAGATCTGAGAAGTCCTTCCCAAGCTCCCTGGCCCAGAGAGGCCTCCAGAGATGTTCCCTCTTCCCATCACCTCGCGTCACTTTCTTGATGTATTTTGATGAAAAGTCGGCCGTGCTGAGGAGGTTGTCGTTTAGGCGAAGCCGCGGGCGGCTCGAGCACGGTCCCATTATGTAATGCGCATCTTACAAGAACATTCTTTGAACAGTGAGTCACTACTAGCACGGCTAGTGCAAGCGACTAGCGCATGCTGCCCCGCACGTGCCCGCCCACCCGCGGGCGCGCTGCATGTATATGCTTATAGGCCTGCATGCTTATACTTAGAGGCTGGGGGCCTGGGCTTGTGCGGCAGCGTTCGCAGCGACGCGTTCCACGGATCTCGCCTACTGCGGCCGCCAGTCGAGCCTTGCCACGCGCATACAAAACTCTCTATCTCTCTACTCCCCCTGGATCGTAAGCCAATAATGAAGATCCATGTAGAGTATTTTGTTCTCAAAAGCTTCGAGCATATTAACACGTGATATCCTGTTCCGGTACTCCGAAATCCTGAGCGGCAGCTGGATCGGAACCTGCGTCTGACATTCCTGACGATAACGATCTCGTCTGAAAATATCCTCGTGACCCAAAGTTAGGATCGTCTACCCCGCCTAGTTCAGCTCCTCCTATTTGACTCCTTGTATATACAGGCGCTGCGGCGCCTCCTCCACCGGTTCGTTCACTGTTACTTCTACCTCCAAAGTATGCAGTGAGGAGCCCCTCACTGCTCTCGGACTCTGATGAAGCCAGTTCCGGTAGCTGGGACCAATTGCCACAGGATTGTAAGGCCCTTCAACTATAGAACTAAGTAGATATTACCTCGGATCTCCCCGGATAGTCTAGGGGCACTAGCGCGGGCGATCAGCCTGGATAACACCAAGGCAGCCCTCGCTAAATGTGAGATAAGAAAGAGAGAAAAGATACGGCGACGCGTATCTGTAGGGTAAAGATATAATGAGATAAATAGGGCGGATACATGCACTGCAATGCTAGCTTCAAACTAAGCTAAAGGTAGATATTGAAGGCGGAAATCCCGCCACACCTCATTGTCAGTATAGTGAACTTGAAAGAGGGATCTATCTGAATAGAGTACTAACTTGATTCACCATCATCCCCATAATTTACACTACCGTGACCCTGCTTGCCGTGGTTGATACGTCGTGCTGCGGGCAGGCCTTGAAATCACAGCGCCATTGACAAACTTTCTGAAGACTGCGCGACGCGAAGTCTTGCCGCACGACGTATCAACCACGGCAAGCTCCCTCACTATCGCGACGTCACACTATCATGATGGAGATGACACTGCACTCTGGACACCCTAACGTAGACATCAACGTTCCTTACTACCCTAGTTTGGGGTATTTCTCTCTAGGTATCTCTGGAGAACCCTTAGTTAGCCTGGGGTAGGTTCTATAGGTAGGTGTCGTGGGGGGGGGTCGTATCCAGGCGGGGGAGGCCTCGCAGGGGAATAAGCGGCAGGTCGAATAGGGAGAAGCAGTCCTGGCCAAAGGTAACCCGGCTTGAGTCCGAGCGGATCGACGGAGAAGCAATGGGTGAGTCGCTCTGCGCAGCCGATTCGAATGCGTCGAACTCCAAAATTCCCGCAATGGCGAATAGACCTGCTGCGAGATTCGAAATCCCGTTCTCAGGGGCCTGATCGATGCGCTCTCATAAAGACTCCCTATCCTGTGGGCATTGCCTCGCCACGGCTGAGGCCGGCGCGCGGCAGCTGCCGCCGGCGCACCCAGGGCCGCCGCGCCTCCTAGCCAGACAGCGAGACTCACCCGCGCAGGCGCAGGAGCCGTGCTGAGCAGTGGTGGACGAGACGCGCGGCCTCGGACAGCGCGCGACCGAGGGCCGAGAGTTTCCCCGTGCGGCCCTCGCGCAGAGCGGGCGCCTTGCGCACGAGGCGGACGCGGTCACGCTTGACCCAGAGGCGGCCGCTGGACGCGACGTTGCCGACGCAGTAGAGGTCGTCCTCGACCAACGCTACGACAGCCCGGAGCCACGCGCCGGGGACCGTGTTGCCGCTGCACCAGACTTCGACATCGTCGCCGGGCGCGATGGCGCTGGTCTTGCCCTCGTGCACGGGCCAGCGAAGCTGCTCGCGCGTGACCCACTCATCCCAACGCGCGTCCCAATTGAGATAATGCACCTTATAGCGGCGAAGCTGCGCGTCGTCGCCGCCTGCGGCGGTGCCCGTGGCGGTGCCTGCGGCAACATCATTGCTGGGCGCGCGACGCCGGCCCCAGCCTGCCGCGCCGCGCAGCACGGCGCCGCTGGCCGACACGGCGCTTGCTGCGGCACCGCCGCCAGCACCGGCCTTCTCGGCGACCTCGGCCGCCCACCACGCGAGGCCACGATAGACCTGGGAGACATTCA